TGCTTATATTAACATGATCTGAAACTGCCTAAAGTATTGTGTGCTAAGCAATTAAAAATTGCTTTTTACATCTATTTTAAAAATCTATTACTGAAACCTATTACTGTTAAAAACTGGAAAAGGAAAAGGGAGGAGGGGGAATTGATGCTAGATTAAAAAAAAAAACCTGCTACTAGCAAATAGGTTATTTAAAAAGGAAACACCCTAAGGATCTTTAGTCATGACTGAATTATAGCTAAATATGATGTACAGCCTAAATCAGATTAGACTAACTTTGGGGTTTTTTTTTCCCGTTTTTCCCCTCAACACAAAAAATGGATCCTTTATCAATGTGGTCATTTGGGCAAATTACTGAGGTTATAATGTCGAGAGATCATTTTTAAAAGATCACAGTTACACATATTTCCCTTCCCTATTTCCCCAACCCTAATATACAGATCTGAAATAATTTAAATCAGTTGCTGGAACTACACATAGTAGTTAGTAAACGCATAATCAAATCTGTAGAAAGGGTTTAAGGTTACAAAGAAATCTAGTTTTGCTAAAAATGAGGCATACTCTATCGTATCATTAAATGTACCCTGACTGCTCCTGAGTAAAAACGGAGCTTGTCCTCCATGAGATAAGGCTACATCCTCACAAACTGGTGAGATCAAATCCTACCCTTAGAAAATCCCAAACAAAATTACAATGAAGGTAGTGTTTACGAATAATTAACTGAAGCATTTCTGAAGGTAGTGTATGTACCTTTTCCCCTCCCCCCCAACTGGGTGAGCACTAAACAAATTATTAATGTTAAATGAATTTAATTTTTGAAAGAAAATAAAATGTAATTAGACCTAATTGATTACTTATAATTATTAAGGAGATAACCAATCTCCATGAGCTCAAGAGATTTACCCTATCTAAAGAGCAAGTACTTTATTGTAATACTTCAATTAGCTGGATCCAAGGAGAAAGAAAATTCTGAATGATTTTCTAGTTTCAGATGGCTTTCTAATTATGGACAATAAAGCTCCAAGTAGAAGAGAGTTGGGTTTTAAAAGTGGCCTTTTCAAAAAAAAAGGTGAATATGACAGTAACTCCCTTCCCTCCCACAAAAAAGCACACTGGCTCTACAGGCAAGGAGTCCACTTCCACATATCTGCATTCTCTGTGAGGTAAATCAATTCTCTAAATTGTAGAGAAACATGCAAAAGGCCAAAGGAAAAAAATAAAAAAGGTATTTTGAGCCATACTGCACATGGAAAATTTCAAAAATGCAACATTCACAATGCACCTTTCACCTGGCTGTTCATGCAAAATCTGCAAAGAACAAGTGTTACAGTAAATGGAGTCAGGTGCATCAATGATAACTGAACAATGCAGCAGTGCTCACCCAGTTTGTAAAGTAATTGGCACTCTACAGTATTCCTACTCATCTTTTGATTCATTTGCACTTTGTGCTGCCTCTCCCTGGGGATCTAATTCAATCTTTACTGAAACATCTGGACCCTCCGACCTCATTAATTTCATCTTTTTCTTTGGAGGGTTTTTCAAAGTGCCCAGCCTCTCCTTTACTTTGTACTCCAGTGTACTGTGGGGAATTCCATAAATACTCTGAGCTTTGGAAACACTCATTTTTCCACTCATAACCACCGAGATTGCTTCCTCCAGTATTTCACTGTTGTACTGTCTATATCTCCCTCTTTTCTTCCGAGGCTGCTTGGAGCCTGGGTCTCCTTCTTGATCCGACGTGGGATATGGCTGTCCAGAGGTAGACTGCTCAGCATCTGAGCCCCAAGAATCCGGTCCAGCATCCAGCATACTTCTTCTATTTTGTTTTGGAAGAATAGCCCTTAACTTTTTACTAAGCGCGCTCTCCGTTTGTGAACCCATGACCAAAGAACTATAGCTATACTGGTCACCAGTGCGGGACTCCCATGAAAGGTCCATGCCTCGAACTTGTGGTATCTTTAAATCTACAGGAGATGAATGGCTCACGTCCTTTTTTCCATCTTGTTTAGTTTGAAGTGCCATTTTTTGAAAGACAGAATTTTCTGTAATATAAGGAAGGTCACTGATGTTGCTGAGTGCACCATTTCCCCTGAATTTCATGCGGCTGAAGTTGAATTCATAATGTGGTTTTGCCCAAGAGGCCTCCCTGGATAAGATTAAATGTTGCCCATGATTCTGCAATCCAGATGACCCAAGGCTGGCAGCTGAGGAGAACTGGTTTCTGCTCAGTAGTTCTTCACTAATCTGCAGTGATCGCGCCAGTGGAACTTTGAGAGATGTGGAGTGGCCAAAACCTTCCCTGGTTCCATCCTGTAGGCTTCTTGGAGGTACCCCATCACCACTCCGAAGTCCGTCCGGACGGTGCTGGCTGGGTCTCCCAGGTCGCCTAATTGGATGGAAGGAAACTGATGTGAGCAGGACTTGCACAGGTAGGGAGGGATGGGTGAGGGGACCACTCCTTTATTAGAAGGCCTTGCTTGGGTAACATCACTTTGTGTTATTTATTTTCTCTCTCTCTAAAATTTAAAAAAAGGTCTCAGCAGTCATTTTAAAACTTGTCCACCAAAAACAAAACCAAAACAAAACCAAAAACAAAACAAAAACAAAAAAACAAAAACCAGGAGCTTTTTGGGCAAAGAAAAATGAAACCTGTCAGTTGGTCTCTGGTTGGGTTCACAAATTTTCGGAGGAGAAAGGCTTCGCGCAACTGTCTGAAAATAGCACCTTAATTATAAATTACAAAGTAATCGTCAGTCTCCATAGCTCTATACACAACTGTGTTATCAATGTGACGTTACCACTAAACAAGTACAGTAATAAAAGAGTAAGCCAGATGACTTTAAAATGCAACACATTCAACATACATTGGACAACCTGCTACAAAATCCGAACTGTTGTTCACAATAGTGAAGGCCATGGATGGGTGCTCATTTAATCCACACAAAAATCATCATCAAAAAATAAACAACTCCAAACAGCTTGTTATTCTTTTACACTTGAATGAAAAGCAAAGTGGTACTGCCACTAGCAAAGAAGCTGCATGTTAACAACTTACCACACTGCTTCCTTTCAGACACAACGAGAAACACAATGAATGAGAAACCTCTGATTCTCCATTTGAAATGAGCCAGGCTCAAAAGAAATGGTGTTTTCTTACCTCCAATACTTTTATTCCTCAAATCCTACTAAATTCAGTTCACTTCAAAGTTATGAGCATTATGTTGTATGTCTTTTAAACTTTATTTTTAAAATCTATTATTTGTGGAGTAATCTTTTCTATCTATACTTTAAGTTGATAGCTCCCAAGGAATGCTACTCAAAAGTTAATGATTTCATGAATTACTGGTTCTTAGCCCATTTTTTCCCACACAACTACAAATACAAACTTATACTGGTTTGCAAGTGTCACACTTTCACAATGACAACAGATTATCAAGGTCAATGATGGTGAATGGTAAAGCATGCCCAAAAGAAGTCATAACATTAATAAAATCTAGATAAGAAAGTGAATGTTTAAGAAATTAGACACACTGGTATGGTCCCTATTATATTTACAAAAATAACATGCTAAATTTTTTTTTCTTGTGGGCTTTGTGTTATGATCAGCAAAAGTTAACACCCCAAGGATAATACCAAAACTTCACCTAAAAACAGGGTGGTACTGCTAACTCACTTAAGAGACTAGCGAACTTGATCAGAGTTCCACAAAATGAAAAGAACAGAGAACTAACTCCAATGTGAAGGTGTGGGCTGCAAAGATAAACTTAAAGCAAAACACGATGCTGGTTTTTCCCGCCAAATCACAGGTAAGTCTTATCTAAGAGTTCCACATTTAGTCAAACTACTTGGGCTCCTGAAAAATTCCCAACTATTCCAGGATATTGTGATATAAGAACAGAATTTACTGAGAGGGATATATTGCATTTAAAATCAATATCTGAAGAAGAGAAAGGTGAAAAAGAAAAGGCAAATACTTTTTAAAAACCAAAATGGATAAAATCAACAACAAAAGTTTTATTTTTTTCATTTCAAAAAGACAGAAAAAATGAAACATTAAGGAAAAATAAGGGACAGTGTTGTAGTAGCTGATGTTACAAAGCATTACAAGGAAGGGATACTTTTTTAAATGACAGCTAGAGCATGTTTCAAAAAGTTAAGACATTTTGATTTCTCCTACCTTAATCTATGTAACTTCCAAATGGTTTACACTTATTATTTAGGATTACTAAGAAGGTTGTCTTTCATATCTAACATACTATAATTCAATGACAACTTATTAATATTGTTTCCCATGTATCTCAATTTATAACCTATTCTACATAAAAACAGCTCCTTTAAAAAAACACATGGTTAATAAAGGACCCCAGATGAAATCAATATGAAATCTGGTTCCTAGAATCTCAGAAAATTCATTTTAATCTTTAAGAGTGCTATAAAAACTAATTTTATAATGATTCTATATATTGTCCTGATAGAGGTGGTTACCTATCAATACCACACCTCAACCCCACCTGTTAAAAGAGGCAACAGAAAGCACCATTATAGTTTTATATGAACTGTCAACATTGGAAATTATAGTTGCAGTTCACATTTACCAAAACCCCCAAATTCCCTATGTACCAAGTTCTGTAATGAAGTCCTCTTCTTATCCAAAAGCTTCAACCTAAAGACTATAACTGATATGCTTTAACTTTGTAATATCTGATTAAGGTTATTTATCCACATGTCAAACCAACAAATCATCCAAAAATACAAATGCATTCTTGCCAAGTTCTTAACTACTTAATAAAAACTAAAGTTAAAATTATTAGCCTATGCTATCAAATTTCAGAATGCAGCTTTTCTCAGGAGGTGGACTAAAGGCTGACTTTAGAAAAGATCCACTACAAAAATCATTACTCTGAAGGATTTCCATTTATTTTAAATATAAGAGGAGATTAGTATCAATCTGTAATAAATTGCTTATGATACATTATGGGAAAACGGCAAATATTTTCCCTTACCCGTTCCCTTGAGTATTGGAGCAACCTGGAGAATGGCTGAGGGAAGTGCTGCCAGCACATGGACTTTTCTTAGTGGACAGATCAAGGACACCGTCTGTAGAAACATAAAGGAACATCTGAGAATGCGGGAAAAACTAGGTGTAACCATGAACTCTGTTGGATTAAAAAAGTTAAAAGCTATTGGCCTACTGTGGATGAATACATTTGTTTTTAATTTCCGTTCTTTTTTTAAAAATGTTCTTTATTTGTTTTTATTTCTGAACCATTAATCAATCAATCAAATTACCATATTATTTAGAATATAGGTCATCACATCTAACTCCCTGTGCACCCCGCCACACCCCCCTTCTACCAAAAAAAGGACTCTCTTAAAAGGGGGAAAAAACTCAAACAGGTATACACTAAAAACAATGCCAATTATAAACTTGCTTTCGATTTTACACAAGTTAATGGTGGGAAGGGAGGTAAGTCTGGCCTATTGTCAGAGAAACCTAGCAAAAAGATTACCTTTTGGCAAAGCAACTACAAATTTCACAAACATTATGACAATGTCTTACAAAAGGCAGAATGGTATAGCCAAGAGATAAGTAGCTTTGGGATTTAGAAAAAAGTCCAAGTTTTGTCTAAAGCCCACTTCTGAAGCACATTAGCTGCCTGATCTGGGCAAGTCTCTTAACATTTCATGGCTCAAGAAACCCTCTAAGATCATGAGCTGCAGAAAACAAGAGTTTTCTTCATATAGCCTTTATACCAGTGAAATCCAAGGTCTAGTTAGTCTTCATGGCTAACATGACCAAAGATTAATAGAGAGACTGCTTCCAACCCTTCAAAAGTTGGGGCATTTTACAAGACTATCAAAAATAAAACAAGATATTAAAAGTATCAATTTATGTTGTTCCAAGTTCTTTATGAGACCCACTGGCCTTGACTTTCTAAATTCAAAAAGAGCCTGTCTCTCAAACTCACAAATTATAAAGTCAAACACCTAAAAACTAAGTCTATATAGAAAAGGTAAAGTCCACATATCTTGGGTTCTCAAAATACTTGCAAGTATTGTTCAAAAGGGGAATTTACAAACCTAATTATGATGATTTTATTATAACAAAATATTTTTGTTAGATTATAACTGAATGCTGTGTTTTTTAAAATACAGACAATGATAAATGCTTGTTGACTGATTAGGGTTAACAGAGAACTTTATGGACACTGCCCTGCTGGATCTTTACAACAACCTTGTGAGGGACAATACTGATATTATCCTCACTTTACAAATTAGAAAATAGGCTCAGAATGGCTAAGTGACTTGCCCATGGTCATACAGTTATCAGATATGGGATCTGAACCTATGTCTCCAAGTCCAGTGTTGTTTCCATTATACCATACAAAGAAATTCCATAAAGTGGGATTAGATATAATTAGTATGTGATTTCATATGCATTTAATTAAAAATGGCTATATTCCCAAGATCACAAATATAGAACTGAAAGGGATCTTACAGATCAGCTAGTCCAACCCTCTTAATTTTACAGATAGGGAAAAGGTCACCAGGAGATTAAAAGAAGTACCCAAAGTGACATAAGTAGCACAGCTGGGATTTGAACACAGGTCCTGTGTCTTCAAGTTCAGGATCCAACTCTGGTTCTTTTCCTACTACACCCCCACAGCCCTTCCTACACAATTGACCAAAGATAAAGTATATAATATGATAGTTCTAAATACAGAAATGTTTCCTAGTCAGAAATCCACCCCAAGGGGAAGTTAGTAGGAAGGAAGTTTTAAGTTTTTTTGTTTTTAACAAAACATCAAAGTGGTATGCCAAGTTTCAAGACAACAAAGCAAGAAAGATGAAGTGTCATTTAAGAAAGCATCCTTTATTAACCAAGAACATACCAAATGTTATATTGTTACCATCTGCGCATAATATTATACAAGAAAATTACACTTTGTATATAGCATTAACAATTAACCTTGTAAACTTAACCCAAAATACTGCATGATTAAGATTGCATTTTAGGCAAAATTAATGTAGTAGGTTAATATTAAATACCCTCTGCCACCAGGTGAATAGCAGCAGGTCTCTGAAATCTAGTTTCCCTCTATTTGGAGATAAAGGGATATAGGATTCCTGTGTACCTTCTCATTTCCTACTGCAGGGTATTATAAACTGATATGTTGTCAAGACTAAAAATATTCATTTAAAAAAAGTAAATCTGATGCGACTGGTGCATTTCCAAAGACATCCATTTCAACTCTACATGGAAGTTTTATTAATCAAAAATGTCCCATCTCTTTTTAAAGATATAACCACACTATGCCCAAATGGCTACAAAAATGTGCATACCCTTTGATCCAGCAATAGCACTTCTAGGGCTACATCCCAAAGAGATCAAACAAATGGGAAAAGGACCCACATGTACAAAAATATTCATAGCAGCTCTTTTTGTGGTGGCAAAGAATTGGAAATTGAGAGGATGCCCATCAATTGGGGAATGGCTGAGCAAGTTGTGGTATATGAATGTAATGGAATACTGTTGTGCTATAAGAAATGATGAACAGGCTGACTTCAGAAAAACCTGGGAAGACTTATATAGTCTGATGCTGAGTGAAGTGAGCAGAACCAAGAGGACTTTGTATACAATAGCAGCCACATCATGCAATGACTAAGAATGTTAAACTGAACCCTTCTCAGCATTATGAGGATCTAAGACATCTCCAGAGGCCTCGGGATGGAAAATGCTGTCCACATCCAAAGAAACAACTATGGAAGTCAAATTGCTCTCACTTATTTTTACCTTAAGTTGAATTTTATTTCATCTTTCTGATGGTTCTTCCTATTGGTTTTAATTTTTACTTACAACTTCACTAATGTGAAAATATGTTTAATGGGTATGTAAATGTAAAGCCTATGTCAGATTGTGCACCGTCTTGGGGAGGGGGGGGGAGAAAAAGGGAGAAAAAAATTTTCAACTCAAAAGCATATGGAAAAAAAAATTTAAAATAAAATAAAATTTAATTTAATTTAATTAAAAAAAAAGATATAACCACAATAATATAATTTTCAACTATAGCACCCACTACTGAAGGAAGATAAATTATAAGGTGAATGATAAATTTATATCAACTAATTAACCAATATTATTAATCCTTCAAATATATCCACTTCAAATATAACCACCAAATATGGTTGTAAAACAAAAGATTCTATTAATATTTAGAATAAATACATTTTTAATAAGGTTGGCAAGGACTGTGCATCTGTTATCTAAAGATTAACCTACTTAAATTCAAAGAGGCTTGTCACTAGAAGGAAATAAATTATTTGGTCATAGCACCTCATGAAAATGCCTATTAAAAACACAGGTGGAGTCTACAATCTACAAAGCTGCAAAAAAGTATGGTGAATCACTAATCTCTTATAGAAGTTTGAAACAGATTTCTTTTAGTAGAATAACAAGTATATTGAAAAGAAAACAATCTCCTTTAATATCTAATGTTCAGAAAGGCCCCAGTTTTGCAGAGAGAACACTATCACCAATGAAGTGGCTATATGACAAGTTTTATTTTGTCTAATTGAGAAAGCCTTCAAACATTTTGATCACAGAAGCCTTTCCTAGTTCCTCCTACTAAGAGTACTGTTCCCTTTGAGATAATCATCCATCTACTCTATATTTGCATAGTTTATGTACATAGTTGATTACATGTTGTCTTCTGTCCAACAGAATGTAGGTTCCTTGAAGACAGGTGTGGTGTTTTTGCCTTTCTATGTATGCCCCAATATTTAGCACAGTGCCTGGCATATGGCAGGCATTTGATAAATGTTTACTGACTGACACCAAAAAAAAAAAGTAATAATAAAGTAACAAATTAAAATATGGCATTCACATACGATCATCCAAATGTGGGCTATTTTATAAGTAAGAATATAAGTACATTTACTAAGCACAAGAAAATAATTTCAAAAGCAGTTTTTTTTGGTCATTTCAAAAGTTATGGAAATTTTATATGGAAATTTCAAGAGGCAAACATTAAATTTATTTTATTCAATCAAATTTTGTGAAGTTTCTCTCTCCACCCCTTTTCCATTGGATATGAACAAAACCGTACCACTTTACTGAAAGGTTTGCCTTACCTATAATTCAATATAAATAAAACTCCTTGATTAAACTTTACATTCAGAAGTTACAATGATCCAAGCCCTGCCTTGGCTAAAGATTCTTTACTATCAAAGTTATAATACAAAAGGAAAATTTAACCTACTTGAAAAAAAATTTTTAAATAACTTTTAGGAAAACAGCATTTCATATATTACTAAAAGTAAATGTTCACTGCAACAAGCCAGGGGTTTACTGATTCTAGATTTGCATTTATGACCAGTGATGATAGAGCTGAATATACATACATGCATTACAAATTTTTCTCATGTTAAAATAGACTGCAACAGATTTCATTTGACTTTGTATACAAGACAGTAACACTGAATAAATAATTCATACTTTTTACTAATTCAACACTCTTCCTCCTCCACCAACCCCCAGAGGGATGTTTAACTGTCGTTCCTGGTCATGAAGATTTCGACCCAGGTGAAAACCTGTGATGAGTGATTTATCAGCCTACCCCTTCACCTTCTAGGGCATAGCTTTTTCTAGTTAATGATGCTCATCCTAAACTAGAGGTTCTCAACTTATGGGGCATGAACCTGGGATTCGCCTAAAGTTGAAGGCTGGGAAGTGGAGTTGCAAGGGCACTTACCACACATGTGCACCAGGCATTATCATACTGATCGTTAACTCCAATAATGTAAGTAGTGTGACTCAGTAAAATAAACAAACATACCTTCTGGAGACTAAATATATATCTCACAACAGGTATCAATATTTTTCAAATGTGTAAGGAGATACTATTATAATTAATAAAATGTAAATTGATTTAAAATAAAACACCTTTTTGTCATATTTTCTCATTTAATGGACAATACAATATAACTATTAGCATATGGGAGTGCATAAAAAGTTGGGAAATTACTTGTCTTAGACTTTATGAGCAGGAGAGAAAACTTTCATTTATCTTAAATGAAAGAAAAAATTATTATGATAGAAGTGAGGACATTTTGAAAAATACAAAATGCTAATACGCAAACATATCTAAAACACGGTAAGCAAGTAAAATTGACTGGCCCTACTCAGTGTTAAGACAGACCCATATCTTTACTGGTGGAAAGTTAGAGTAATAACTTTCCATGTTTCCTCTCAGTACATACTCGGACATAAGTGAAGCTGGAAGCTCACTATGTGTTCACCATGTTTTGAGGTCCTATTTGTAAAAATTGGCTTTCAAAATGAGAGTATTACATCAGCATTTTTTTTATTAGATGGAAGAGATGCTGAGAATAAAACCATACCTTGTTCACTAGGTTCTGACTGAGATTTTCTGACAGTAAGGTCCAGAGGTGAGTCTTGGTCAGCCATGAGAAGTTTGCTGAGTACAGGGTTCTGAGCAGTTGCAGCCGTGGGAGAGGTGATAACTGGAGATGCTTTCGGCAGGCTTTGGTTCTTTGTGCTATTGGGCTGGCTGGGGTCCTGAGTAGAGCTATTTTTTGAGGTATATTCAGCAGCAAATTGTTGGATCATTCGCTGCATGATCTCACGGGCCACTAGGGGAATATTGGGGTCAGAGACCCAGGGACTGTCTGTAAACAAAAATTTACTTAATTAAAAATACATTTTAAAAAGTTTTTTCAATCAAACAAAATTTCATTCTTTTAATTTTCATTAAAATGGAGGAGTTTTTCCCACAAAATGTTTTCATTAATGAGATGCAGATTCTTTCATAACAGGGAATTTCTAAGTGATTATAAATATTTCTCAGCAATTTCTTTAAGATTATAGCACTACCTAAAAACCACAGCATAATATGTAAAGAAAGCATATCCTATTCTACGGTTAAGACTTACCTGATAAACAAATTCTAAAATCCATCTTTTATTAATTACCTTGAATAAATATCTTATGATAACTACTCTGATGCTTACCACATACAAGATTACTCAAAATCTTGGATCAGCTAACTAACCCACATAAAAAAACCAAAAACAGTCCATCCAAGTGGTATATTCTTTAACTATACCATGACTTCCACTACTACAATAGCTCTAGGTACATTCTGAAGCAGAAACCCAAGATATAAATGTCTACTAACAACGATTTAGAATTAAGATACATATGAATTCAGAAAATCATTGTAATTTCAAAGTTGGAAGGGACCTTCTAAAAATATTTTAGCCCAACTCTCTCATTTTAAGAGAAAAGTAAGCCCTAGAGAGGTTAAATGACTGATGACTCAAAGTCACAAATTAGTGGCAGAGCTTGCACAAGAACCCTAGTATCCTTTTGGGAATTAAATGTACTTTCTAATCACACTACTTCCAGTCTTTAGAGAAGGTAGTTTCAGATGGCATACCAATATTGTTTTTGAAAGCTGTAAGTCCCTTGATCTTTTTGCAGGAAGAGATTTTTAGAGCTAGAGAGTGGCTTAGATATCATGTAGTCCAACCCTCTCAATCCACAGATAAGGAACGTGAGGTCCATTATAGTAAAAATTTTGGTATGAAAAAAAATTTCCAAGTGCCTCAAAAAAAAATTATTTTCGTAGAACCAAATCACTGAGTCAATTCCATTAAGTTTATTATTATGAAATTTATTCTAACCAAGTAAGCTATTTAGAATAGTGGAGTTCATTCTTTCTAAAATACAGTTTTTAAAAAAAGACATGACACTACTATAATTGGATTTACATACTTAAAAATTAAATGTAAGTAAAAATAAATGACTGTAGAAATTTCTGACTGGCATATCTTTTAGCGCAGTTTCACTGGAAAGTCTCTGGTTTTTTTCTTTTTACAGAGTGTAAATGTAAATGTTCATAAAGTTCTGAGGCCAAGTGACCATAAAGAGGAAATACTAGAGGATCAGTAATAAACACTATGGCAATCCCACTTATTTTTCACCAACCACCAGCTTTTCTTGCCAATTGTCTATGGAAAATTTTTCAGGCAGTTTTCATTTTACTTATTTCTAAAAATATGCCTTCATATAAAATGATATTCCAATCTCTCAAACTTTTTTTTAAAAATCAATTTTTCCAATGGAAAATTTGATAAAAGAGGGAAATACTTTCACAATGAGAACCAAATTGAAAAGGTGTAGAGGTGAGTCTGTACTTTTATTAGATTAGTAACCATAGTTAAAGAAATTCTTAGAGAAGAGAGTCTTGAGAACAGACTCTGAAGCTCATTTTCACTTCTGAGAGCAAGACAATATGGACAACGGAAATAGAGTTAAGAAAAAGGCAAACAATGCCTGGATTGAATAAATACTTGTCCTGTTTTATTTTCTGCTCCTTTTGAAAACCTTGGACATATTTGATTATTTAATGTACCTAAAACACATTATATGTACCCCATATGAACACTTAGACAACATTATCAGGACAGAAAAGTGACAAATTAGCTCAAACTGAAATAAAAATAGCTAACATTTAATTAAGAAAACCTGATGGATAGTACTCAGATGTTATGGTCCACAGGATCACAGAGTCAGGTACAATTGATCAACTGCACAACAACCATTTAATTATTAAGAATAGTTATTAATTAAAATAGCTAAACATGACAACTCCACATTCTAAAATGTAAATCATTCATCAGAATAAAATGGCACACTCTCAAAAATGACAACTGAAGTAAATTTAATTCAAACAAAGGATCAGAGATCTAAGCTAAAAGGAACCTTACATGGAACACAAATGCTGAATTTATCAGTCATAGAAAATTGATTAACTGAAAATCTGAAATCCCTTCACAAAGTATGCCACTAAAACAAAAACCTAAACTTTATTTCAGTCATTTAGGTTTTTAACAATTAAGTACTTAAAACACCATTTACATTCAAAGGTGTGTGTGTGTGTGTGTGTGTGTGTGTACACACATATAAAAGACTCATTGTAATGTAATTTTCTATGACAGTGATGGGCCTGGAAAAAAAGAAGGGTACAGAAATAAACAAATGTAGGTGAGCTTTAAAAATAATTGTCACTGAACTTTTTCTTCTCTTTCCTCAAAGTCCATATCGAAAGAGGCTCCTCCCTTCAGAAAATAGGGCTTGAAAAGGGAAGATGGCTCCAAGAACAGCACTCTTTCCTTTTATCTCCAAATTTCCTGTCCCCAGAGAGAAGGAAAGTGATACTTGTTTTACACAACTGAGAAATTCATTATGATTAATAAATGAGATTCCCTTTAAAATATCTATCAATCATTTAAACCTTACAGTGAATTACTGTATTTTTAATCAGTTTCCATAGCAACTAGCTAAAGGTAATTTTGTAGCATGGATACCTTCCCATGTACTTAAGGTCTGTAAGGTGCTGAACAGGTAAGAAGGAATCAGAGGTCAACATAAAGTTCACTAGAGGCTTAAAGAGAGTCTGAATGAAGGTGGGGGACAAAGAAGCCAACCAAAGAGAGGTATAAAACAACTCTTAAAAGCGGCTTGTGATTTATCTAGGAGGCAAAAACTACCAACACACTAACACAAAGCATGGTGATACAGCTATACAGAAAACCATGTAAATGTGAAAATGGAGAATGCCCTAAAGTTAAAGCATGTGATGAACATGAATATTTATTACTGGATGTATACAATGAGATTCACATATACATACATATCTGATCATGAATAACCCCTGAACAATTAGCACTTGTCAGTCTCTCACTTTTTTTTTTAATAGCATAGAGGAACAATAAGATTTTATCAATTTGAAGCAAACTACCACAGATGTATATACGTAATTCTTCTGGAACTAAAAGTCTCCTAGAATTGACTCTGAAAAGTTGCCTCTGATCACATAGCTACTACATGTAAGTCATTCCTGGAGTTCACATGTTCCTAACTCTCAGATCAGTCATTTCTCTATCTTCCTATTGCAGGCTGACACTTCAAACTCTTACAGAGAGCTCTAAATTTGGTCTTCAGACATGAAAAAATTTCATGAGGTTATACGTGAGACAAAAAAATGATAACAAAATAAAACCAATGAGAAAAAAGTTAAGGAAAATTAGTTAATGTATTGGCTAATTATTTCCCATTAACTATCTCTTGTATGTACCTGTTTTTTTTGCATATTGTCTCCCTCATTAGAATGTGAGCTCCTTGAAAGCAGGGGCCACACTTCTGTCTTTCTTTGACTCAGAACACAGTACCTGTACTTAGTACAGTGCTTGGCACTTGGAAAGTACTTATTAAACGTTTTTTGACTGACTGAAGAAAGCACCAAATTTAGAGTAAGAAGATTTGGATTTGAATTCCCCTGTTTACTAGTGACTTTGTGGCCATGTCATAGAAGACTGAACCCGTGTTTTACTGACTCTTCTCTAACAATGTGTGGTATTTTCTTTTTAACTCAGTCTTACAGAATTGTAAAGAGCAGAGGTATCAAATACACTGCTGAAAGGCGTGTGGCCTGAACCAAATTCAACTATCACTGGGAAACATTTAACCAAATAAATAAAAACGTAACACCATACTGGTAAAACTGACTTAGAAAATCACATGTTAACAATAGCACATTGGTAATGTTAACATGTGGTTTTCTAAGCCAATATGTGTCATGCAGGGATCCTTCTATCCGTCTTATTGAGTTTGACATACTGGCCTAGAGCACTAAGAGATACAGTGATCTGACAGTGATCTGAAGGCATCCTGTACCCTGGTCCTTCCTGGCTCTAGGGGCCAGTTCTCTAGCCAATCAGTCAATAAGCATTGTTTAAGGTCCTGGGTTAAGTGCTGGGGATACAAAGAAAAGAAAAAACATTGTCCCTTTCCTCCAGGAACTCATAGTCTAATGGGAGTGAGAACATGCAAATAACTGTGTACATCTAAGATATAAATAGCGTAGACAGCAAGGTAATCTTTGTTACAGAGATAACAACAGTCCAGGGGAGAAGGGGTAAGGACTTCAAGCACAAGGTGAGGATTTGAGCTGAGTCTCGGATGGAGACAAGTGAGGACAGCCAGAGCAGAGGCCCAGGGCAGGGAGATGGAAGTGTCATGAGTGGACAATAGCAAGGGAGACCATGGAGCTAAATTCCTGAGTTGTGGAGTAGGGTCAAGGGTAAGGAGACTAGAGAGGCAGGAAAGGACCAGAGGGAAAGGTTTTAAATGCCAAATGAAGGCTTTTCTGTTTGATCTTGGAGATAAGGGAGACCGCTGGAATTTGGGGGTGGGCTGCGTTTTGTCATTGCTAGAAAGATGCTTTATTCAGGAGACCACAATAGTCCAAGAGGAAGGTAGTGAGCATCCCTGGAGGTCACTAAAAATGAGGGGACAGATAATCTTTAAGGTCCTTTCTAGATGTCATATTATAAATAAGACTTTAAACATATTAAGATTTTAGACAAAGCTCAAGTACTAGCTAGCTTTCATCTCAATCAAGGAAGAACACAAAACTGCAGGAAAAGGAAATTAGGCTGGTAAATGAATGATTTTTTTATATATATAATGGGATGGTTTATCACAGTAGTCTAGAATAGCCTTTCCTAAAGGTATTGCTTACAAGCAAATATGTCTAAAGGCAAGAGGATGGACAAGATGATCTAAATGAATCTCTTCAACCTTATGATTAATAAGAAATAAATCAAATACTGAAATTTTTTTAAAAAATTTATGAAAAAACACTTTTAGGCAAAAGGCTTTTTTAATGCCAACTTAATTCAAACATATAACTGAAATAATTATTTAAGTTTTCAAACCCATTTACATATATTGAGTATGGCTAGAATATTCTTCACTCGTTTAAAAACATTAAGGTATCTGCTAAAATGTCTGAATAGATCTTATTCCAGTAACACCCAAGAAAAAAAGAAATATTTTTCATTTTTACTTAGATTAAATCTTTTAAATATGATTACAATTTCTATATAGCTTGTTTCGCAGACAGCCCAAACATTAAATAATAATGAAAGTTTAGGAAAAATGGCAGCTCATGATGGCAATTTCTCAGGCCGCACTCAAGTCTCAAGAAAGTCAAAGCAATTTGCGTAATTATAACTTTACCATTTACTTAACTAAAAATTTAACAAAACCTTATTCCAGAGCAACAAACTGACTGTGACTACCTTGACAAATTTCAATCAATTTTTACTTTGACCAAATGAAAAACAAAAACATAGAAAATGATCAAAATCAGCAACCTCTTGCAAATCCTGGATATTATTCTTTCCCCAAACCAACCTTTTCTATAAAAGACTGCATTGAGGAATTCTTCTGCTTGTCTCTCGAAACGAATGATTTTTGCTTGCCCTTGTCTAAGCAGAGCTTCTTGCCCAGCTCCCAAAGCTGGTTCATCCAGATCGACTAAATGTTCCTGTAAAAACAGTCAGTGAAACATTTGCGAAAAATATTTCTCCTCAAAAGGCACAAAAGAATAATTACATACCAACATAAAATAAAAATATTTTAATACAACTTAAGATGAATTTTTAAAATCTCATTGCCACTTCTAATTCAAAATCAAAATTCACATAAATATATTTGAATTTCAACCAAAGTCTTCTCTCCAATGACTATAAATGCAAAAGGAGAGTGCATTTATTAATATATACTAAATATATACACACAGAGTAGATGCATTTAAGAGCTTAAACTTGCACTAAGATCTCGGGGACAAAACACACACACACACACACACACACACACACACACACACACACATACATATGTACACACACAAACCCCCCTCTTATAAGATCTCCATTTATAATTCCACTAAAGATTCTATATAGACCTTTGAGTAAAACTCGAGATCACATATCGAGTTGGATCATTTTTAAAAAGTTATTTTGCAAATATAAGTACTTTAAAATAAAAATATAATTAATAATGTACTGAAAATACAAGTTTATTGGCTTCTCTCTTTACCAAGGTATAGTGATTTTTATTTATTAGAAGAATTTCACAGAAAATTAACTACATGGTATTATTCAGTGAGACAAGAGAAAAAAAATCAAAAGAATCTGTTTAGAGGGCAGCCATAGTAGGAGAAAAGGAAAACTAAATTCATCCCTCCCCCCCCAATCTCTCTATCTAATCTTTGTCCAATGCTGCACTGCCAATTAGGAAAAGCCTCACTGATTTGTGCTTACGTTGACCAGTGTGAATAATCCAGTTAACTGAATGCCACACTATGAGAAAATGAGAGCAGAATGGAAAGGAAAGGTTTTTGAGTGGCCTTTAAAGTCTATAAAATTTACTAGAATTCAAGGACATGCATTTCTTTTCATAATGGAAGATTAAATCGATATTTTAAATTTCTAAATAGGAATACATATGGACATTAAGAAGTATAAACAAACACTGACTTGAGTGCAGTTAAGTGGAAAACTTTGTTTTGTTAATTTCCCTGAAGCATTAATTTCTTTCTTTGCCCCTAAAACTCCACAACAAAACTATGTATCCTGTAAACAGCATGCTTCTCTTATCAATTATACTGCTTAATAATGAATAATCACACAGTACATAAAGTATATATTTAAAATATCATTAAACTTAAAGAAGGTGTGACTATTTTAAATGCATGCAAAAAAATTAAGCTTATCATGTAACAAAATAATTCTTCACTTTGGTCTAAACAGTCTTAAAATCATAACAGTAATTCTAATGAACATTATGGTGGATATATTTACCATTTCTTATGTTACAAGGAACAGGTCCAATTTAAACAATGATTTAAGAAAGTGGGTTCATCCAAAGGAATATTCACAAAATTTTGATATTAAATTAGCAAACCGTTTCTATAAGAGTGTTGATAAATATCAAAAGCAAGTTCAAAGAAAAATTTCCCTCCTTCATCTAGTTGTTCAGGGATTTACTATGAGACTTGTAATAGCCTCATACTGCACGGAAAAACAAAGATCCTTCAAACCAGGCTTTCCTCTGCCAAAATGGCTTATACACAGTCTTTCAGTACAGACTGTTATCAAAGCAACAGGAGAATTAAAATGCAACCAGTTTCATCAACTCTGAAATTTTCAAGATCCTTTTCAATAGATGTTCAACCAGTCAAAAATCATTTATCAAGTGTCCACTATGTGCCAGGCACTGGGGCTACAAAAACTAAAGCAAAAACAGTTCCTGCCCTTAAGAACATTAGAGTATATTCAGGGAACCCAACATGTACATGTACACATACATACAAAATGATCTTAGGGGGAAGGCACTACAGCAGTCAAACCTAAAAAGAGTTTTTCAGACAACATACAGAGATTTCTATGAGAACCAAAAACAAGGCACAGAACCTTCAATCTTCCACATTTTCGTACCAAATTTAATTCACATAGCAGCTACATAAACATTTAATTGCTTAATTTATATGTCTAGTATTTTTCCTAAACATACATATTTATGTGTACACATATATGTATGTATATACTAATTTCAAAATTAGGCATAACACTACCTCCTCAAATTCATAAATGACAGTAACTAATGAATATGAAGATGATTCAAAGGTGGGCAGTTAAGTGAACATATCAAACGTGGTATTAGGATAATCAATTCTTTTCCCCTAATAATTTTCAAAAAGAGAGTATAAAAGGTATAAGGAAGAATATAAAGTGATGTCCTAGACACTGTATATTCAGAAACCTTTATTAATCTTTCTGGTTGTCACCCATTTACCAAAGAACAGCTATTTAGTATCTATTTACATAGCAACAATAAAAATGTTAAATGCAATCTCCTAATATTTCATCATTTCTTCAACCATGATATATAATTCTAAGAGTTGGAAGGCACCTTAAAGGTCATCTAACCTCCATACTGGTATAGATCATTTCCAGGTCCTGAAAAACATTATTTTCTGCAAGATTCACTTAAGTTTGCTAAAGTGTAGAGAAATGGATTTGCGTATGATTAAAAGGAAGTTGACACAGAAGATTGATTACTTCTTCTTAAATGTTTTACGTTTGCTGCTCAAACACAGAGAGAAGTGATTATTAGTTTCTAAAAGCTTTCTTCATCAGGTAATCTGAAAGTCAACAGAGAGCTCCAGAGAGTGCAGAGCAGAAGCTACAGTGTTGAATGCCTAAACTGTCATGGCCTTGTCACCTCTGAACTATGAGGTCTTGCCACAAGTTTGCCTAGATGTTCACTATACCTCTAATCCTAGATTTCACAATAAAAAGATAGTGTAGAGTGAAGAGTGTAGGACTAAGTTAGAGCTGATAAATCTTAAGTATCACTTTATTTTAAGTCATCTGATCATTTGAAAATGTAATGATTGTTTTCACCTTTAAAAATTTAATAACTTTTTAACTAGTGTTGATGGAAGACCTCCTTATTTGTTTCTACATGCCACAGGAGTTGACATTTTAAATTAATCTTGTTTGCATTAACAAATCTTGCGCCTCTATCACCACAGACAAACTTGTAACATTCAGCTGTGGAAAATATGCTGAATGACTAAAATGATAGTACTTAAAACTGAACTGATTCAAGGGCAAAACTGGTGGCAAATAACTGATTTTATGAACAAATCTCCAAAGCATAATAGTAATAACTGGACTTGTCTTAATTCTTGGCTATCTCCTCTAAACCAATTCCTCATTATCAGTTACAGTATTTTGATCGAACCCCTCAGGGGCCCATTACTATTATGACATAGCTACACCAAGGGTCCTAGAATCTCTCTACTTAGAAAACTAATGAAAATTTACAAGCTATAATTATTCATATCCCCATGTGGCTTAAGGTAAATTATTTCTAAATCTAAGATGGATATATTGCATAGACATCCTCCAGGGCTTATCTGCAGTTAAGCAGTGCTTTCTTCTTTTCAGATCTGAAACTTACGTTTTTCTTTCCTAAGCATTAATAACCGTTCCTCTCATCATTCCCAATATAAAGTACTGGTGTTAAAATGGTAAATGTGACAAAATAGTTTTCCTTTGAATTGTATCTTAACTAGTATTGGATGAAGCTGTTTTAGAATGAAAATGGGCTTCATTACTGAAATACTGACCCTTGTTGGAATGCCCACAAGGTTCTAAATCCCAGAGGGAAATGTTTCTTGGAATTGTTTCATCCAAAGATTAAGTCTAGAGCAGTGGTCTCAACTTTTTTGAGCATTCATTTCTAACAGCTGGGGGAAAAAACTGCTTGCACCTCTCAATTCCTTTAAAGGCTCAGTTTTAAACCACCTTCTGCCTTTCTGGACCTCCCCTAACCCCACTCAAGCAGCTACTGCCTTTTCCCAACATCATCTAGTCTCTATTGTATATAATCCTATTTACATACATACATACATACTGCCCCAGGCTAGACCATAAACTCTTCAAGGGTAGAGCACTGAAATCAGGAAGACCTTGGTTCTTATCTCATCTCAGATATTAGCTGTGTGACTCTGTACAAGTCGTATAGCTTCTCTGGACCTCAGTTTCCTCATCTGTAAAACAGGGGAGTTGAACTCAGTGATTCCTAAGGTCTCTTTCATCTCTTAAATCTATGATTTTATGATCTGTATTTTTCTTCAAGCATCTCCACTAATCATCTTTCTACTCCCCCCCCACCCCATCCCTGACTCCTGGTCTAGAGATTAAGAAATGCTCAATCCTTTTCAACTCAGCTTTTCCCCTAAAAGGGCTAAGAACAGTTTCACAGAAGCTCTTTCCTCCCCTATGGTAGAAGGAAACTGGATAAAAAGAACCCTAGCCTTCTAAGACCACTCTTAAGATAAGGAAGTGTGGGAGCAGCTAGGTGGCACAGTGGATTGAGCTCTAGCTTTGGAGCCAGGAGGGCCTGAATTCAAATCCAATCTCAGACACTTGATAATTACTAGCTATGTGACCCTGGGCAAATCACTTAACCCTGACTGCCTCACCAAAAAGCAAAAAAGAAAAAAAAAGGTAAGGAAGTGTGGTATAATAGAAAGTACATAGGTTATATGTTAAGTGACTTAGTCCTGGTTCTGACTCTTACTAAGTCACTACTGGGCAAACTGTTTTAACCTTTCTAAGCCCTATTTTTTGGAGAAATGGCAAAACGAAAACACTTTCAATTGGGTATAAAAGAAAATAACTTCTACATGATTTTCCATAAGGCTAAAGTCCTGAAACTAACTCCCCAAATAAGTAGAAACTCTCCTGTGCTCTTGTCTTCTCACTACTAATGAACCATGGTTGAGATTCTTATACTCTTTCATTCCCTCAGACCCTGATACGACACATGTAGCATCCTTTAGATGCTCCTCATTCCGGACCAGAGATATGACAGGCACCAGAGGTACAGGAAATACTTAACCCACTACAAGGGATGTTCTTGTGTAATCTAGGAAATATGTTTTACATTTTTAAAAATGTAAAAACCATCTTAGTTCATAAGCTACACAAAAATAGGCAGCCAGTTGGATTTGGCCCTTAGCCTATAGTTTGTTGATCCCTGTTTGACTAGACCCCAGCTGTTATGGCCAGAGAGCAGCAGGCTAACAAAGCCTTTCCTCATTCCAACTAGATATGCTCCCTTTCTTCTCTGATTCCCCCAATGTATATCACTGTTGTAACACTGATATCTGACCTTCTATAATAGATATTTATGTATCTGCCCCTTTAGGTAAGGACATTTATTCATCTGTCCTATTATTCATAATACTTTATATGTAGTAGGCAGTTTATAAGTATTGATGAATTCAACTGATTTAACAAATGATGGTGTGGAAGAGACATAGTCTGGGGGAGGTAATATAACAAAGGATAAATGAAAGAGCAAAGTGAGATTACATTGTAGAATATCCAGCATCTGGGAGTCTTAAGAAGGGAGAAAAAAGTTCCATGACCTTGGTAAAACTTAGTGGAAGTTAACTCATTCTTTTGCACTTAATACCTCCAACTTGTCCTCCCCAAGATAAAAATGGAAGTTTCTGAGTGCCATTTTGACCTAAGTCCCCAAAAGTAATTAACCCTTGAGAACAGACTTCAGAAACAGAGTTTAGTTTTTGAGGCATTTCAGCTACTACCACTAAAAAAAAAAGTGGAAACCAAAAATCTCCCCCACATACCTGTTCCTCTTATAAAATTCCTAAAGGATAAAATGTTAATTATCACAGAATCTCTTTAGAGATACCCTCAAGTCATCTAAGTCTAATCCATATATGAACTGAAATTCCTCCTATAACAGATACCTGACAAATGGTTATCCAACCTTTTCTTGATCCTGTGAGAAACTCCCCCTGAGAGGCAACCTATTTCATTTTGGTCAGCTTGAATTTAATTAGAGTTTTTCCTCCTTATACCAAGCGTGAATATGCCTCTGCACCTTCCATCTACTATTGCCAATTCTGTTGCCTAGGAACAAACAGAATAGGACTAAGACCTCTTCTACATTCAAGACTTTAAGATACTTTGACAGCTTTCGTGTCTCCCTCAAATCTTCTCTTTTCCAGGTTATTCATCCCTAGTTCCTTCAAATGATCATCACATGGTACCATCTCTAATTTCCTTAATATCTGGTTCTTTTCCTTAGCCAAGTTCCAGCTTAACAAAATCTTCCCTAAAATTTTAGACATAAAATTGAACCAAATATTCTAAATGTGGTCTGACCAAAGCAGAGCAAAATACAGGTTCTCAATTCCCTTATTATGTATGCTAGCTCTCTCTTAAGACAGTGTAAGACTGGACAGGTTTTTATTGCCGTATCTCTCATTGACTGCACGTCACTAAAACCATCCAGGGTTCTCCCCTCACCCAGGAACTGCTATCTAGTCACATAATCCCTATACTGAACTTGTGACATTATTTTATGAAACCAAACACAAAATTTTACATTCATACCTATATTTAATTTCACTTTATTAAATTTAGCCCATTATGTTAACCTGTTTAGATCTCCTAAGAGTCAGATCAAGTCAAGTCCCTAAGCATTTATTAAGCACCTACTATGCACCACAAATTGTTCTAAGTGCTAGGAACACAGTCCCCACTCCCCCACCCCCACCAAAAAAATTCACACTCTCAAAGAACTCACAGGCTAACAGGTACGACAACACGCAAACAAAATAAGATAAGTTGGAGATAACCTTAGAGGGAAGGCACCAGCATTAAGGAGGATCAGGAAAGGTTTCTTGTAAAAGATGGGATTTTAGCTGGGACATGAAGTCAGGGAAGCCAAGAGGTAATGAGGAAGACAAGAATTCAACATCCAGTTGAAATTAATGGAATTGGGAAGTGTGTGAGAACAGCAAGTGAGATTGTGTCTTGTTTGAGGAATAGCAAAGAAGCCCACCCCACCTCACCCCCACCCCCAAGCAACTGTAGGAAACTAAGAATTCATAATGGAGAACAGAGAATAGAATAGTTTGGAAGAAAAGAGAGTTGCTATAAAGAAAGAGAAGAAAATGAAGTTAGAGAGTTGGGTAGGAATTGAGACTGCAGAAGGCATTAAATGTCAGTCTAAGGTGTTTAGTCCCTATCCTCTATAGAAGAGCTATGGAAGGTTTGGAGGCAGAAATCAATATTTATAAAATAAACTTTTGGTTAAAGTAGCATGATAATAGTGTGTAGAATAGAACTGGAGAAGATAGGGTAACCAACAAATATAGAGAAATCAGTTACATAACCAATACAGATCCAGTTGAATGAGCTAAGAATGGACTCTGGAGTTAGAGAATCTAGGTAAAAATCCCACTTCTGATGCTTACTACCTCTGTGCAACTGTAAGGAAATCACCTAACCTCGCAGACCTTATTTTCCTCACCTATAAAATGCAGGAGTTGGATTAGGTGGCCTCTCAGGTTCCTTCCAATTCTAGATCTATGATCCTGTGACTATGAGGCCATGTTTCAAGTCTGTGCTTTAAGTAATGAGGATTTGGACGAGCACAGTGACCAGTAGGAAATGAATGAAAGCACATGAAGGAAAATCAAGAAGATTTAGCAGTTAAATCAATGTGGAATGAGAAGGAACTATGAGGGTTTCTAATGACTCAAGACTAGGAGAACGATAATAGAAATAAAATGCTATATAACACCTCATTATAACTAAATGTTACAAGCAATTAAAGTAGTAAGTTTCTGATTTTTAAAAACCAAAACAAACTATATTCAACCTAAAGGCACTTTACTCAATTTTGCGGAGGGCCACACAATTTATACAATTGAATTATAAAACACTATAAATTACAGAAAATAAATTACTTTAGTCTATCTGTTTTAAGAATTAGTATTGTGACCAGGTCTCTAAATGGAGTCAATTAACCAATAAACATTTATTAATTACCTACTATGTGCCAGTCACTGTGCTAAGCACTGGGAATGCAAAATGAGATGGGGATGCAAACAGACAGTCTTCTGTCCCCAAGGAGCTCACAAAATAATATAGGAGAAATATATAATATGCATTTTGCAATGAATACTACTAACTTTTGAGTACTTGGACAACATAAACATAAATTACTATTCTGTTTACAAAGAACATGATTATTTACCCTATAAATTGTATTATTCAGGCTAAGAATCTGTATTTAAATAGTGGTACAATTCAAATTTAAAATACAAGACTCCTCTGCCTAGCTGTCTATTTAGCTTCACTCAATCAATCACTCATCTAAATGAAGCAATGCTAGCTGGCACCTAAAATCATCAAAAAGAAAATAATGCACAGACTATCTAAATATAAATAATGTTTGATAATACCTCCCGGAATACTGGCTTATATGTACATTTTACACAAAATTATGGGTTGATCTTGCCTTTCCACAGCTAAAAAAGGTAAGAATTTTAAAAACTACCCCAGACATGAAGTTGCATAAGCTTTATAGTTACCTTTACTTTTTCCCTTCTTAAGCAACAGAATAGACAATTTTCATTAAAAGTCCAATCAGAAACACCTTCAGGTTCACAGTCTGTAAAATTATAGCAAAAGCAAATTAGGTTAAGTCACAAAATTACTTATGGTAACAAAGAATATGCGTATAAGCAGTTTCAAATAATTATTTACTAGAAAGGAAAAAATAATGCTTTGCTAAAGTGCTAAATTCATATTAGCATTATATGTGTATGTGTATAATTGCCTTACATAAAAGTATTTATGTAAAACATTTATGCTTCTAGCTATAAAAGAGGAATGTGTGTGTATGTGTATGTGTGTGTGCATGCGTAATTTCAACCAATAAGAAACTGTGAACAAGGAAAGGGTAGGGGATTGAAGAACAAATCACCAAGGTAACATACATTGTTTGGAGACTAGTGTTTCTGTTATTAGGACAGCAGAACAGAAACAAAAAAAGACTGAATACCTTTAAATAAACTGAGATCTTTTAATAATCCAGGTCCAAACAGCCCTTCGAGGATACTTTCAAACCCTAAGAACGAAGGGGAAAAGTGTTAGTATATCACCAAAAATGTGCAATAGTAGCTCTATAGCAGCTACACTTAGTATTTATATGTTGCTGGGGAAAAAAAGGACTTTGTCTTCTAAAGACCCCTGGGTCATTTGTGAAGAAATGCAGGATGAAAGTAAGACAAGCTTTAAGTCCAAAAGGATTTCTATACTTTTACTGAACACCCCACACAAATCCAAAGAAAAAAATAAAGCTAGACATTAGTAGAAATAACTTAAAAACATAAAAATTCATTGCTGATTCCACATACATATGAACACTTTTCCAAAGATGTCTTGACATTTCTTACATCCTATACTCAATTTCTTAGAACCTACAAATTCAATTTCAAAAGATGTCTCTTTTCTGCTTGTTTACTATTGCTCTTCTGTCCTGTTAAGCAATTCTGACCCACTGGCTGAATCTAAGATACTTTCTAAACTGTAGACTAAAATTAAATTTAAAATTTAGGAATTTCTTAGAATAGGAAGTACTTAGAATGAAAAATAATTGCTATACTATACTACTGAATAAAACAATCATACTCTCAGAACAATACTCCTGCTTTCTCTTCATAGGATTCACCTAACTTCTCTGCTACAGTCACAATCACTAACACATAATGTATAAGGTTCAGATTAAATTTGACCACAATTGAGCAGATAGGTGACCAAAACCAAAACAACAAGTATATCCAAAAGAAAATTAAAAATACCAAAATAGCAATATCCTAGTACTATCACACGGTCGTGATGTCTAAGGAAAAAGACCTTCCCTTTTTATGTGTGCTTTCTGTTGAATATGCTGCTTATTTATAAAATTGAGAAAAGAAAAAAGCTAACGGCCTATTTTCATATGCCCACAGAAATTCCTGCAGTATAATATATCAGAAAGGGTGGTCAAAATAGAGAATCCACATTATTTGCAAGGAAGGCACACAGGTAAAATTTCATTCCAAAAAATACAATTACAATGATGGGTTCTACACTTTCATATTTTCCACTGCTCATCTAGGTGGGTGCAAAGCAGAGAGCAACTTCCACCAGTCTTCTCATACAGCCTGATTCTTTCTAAGCCTTTCCATAAGCCCCCACAGGAGCTGCCTTCCAGTTCTCCTAATCTCAAGAAACTAAAGTCCCTCTTCCTGTCCCTGTTCATTGCTTAAATCTCATTCTAAACACATAATCAGCTCTACCTTCTTTTTGATGACTTCTCTGCTCTCTTCTCTCTACTCATTTGGTGACCTCCCATGTTTAGCCATGTACCTGATACACTGATGGCAAATAGACACCTACTGACTGAAATACTCAATAATGAGTCTCATATTTCTTACACGCTGGTCATCATTGGAAACAAGTTTCAACCCATACAATGCTCACCTTTGAAAGGCCCTTTGAATTACTTGCAATTTTGATTCTTCTGAGATTCCCAGAAACAGAGAATTACAAAAATGTTAACTTTAAAAACACGGATTTTTGTTGCCTCTAGCAGTCTGGGACCACGGTAACAATGTAAAACATCTTAAATGCAATATAGAACAATTTCTTCCTACACCATTTTAGGCTCAGCAATACTAGAGAAACTCAGGTACTTGTTTTTTCATCCACTTCAGTATGCATATGAGACCAATCTTTTTCATATTATTGTGGATTTCACTGAAAGATTTTCTGAAGTCCTTTCCTTATTTTCTGAGTTGTTAGTGTCCTCTTAACCCTCTGAAATGTAACTGCTAACTTCATCTTTAACTGCTTTCTCCAAAGTTACGAAGGTCCTTTTAGTTGTGAAATCTAAGGATCTTTTCTCAATATTCATCCTTCTTGACTTCTCTGCAGTTTTTGACACTGTTAATCAACACTCTTCTATTTAATATTCTCATTTAGATTTTCATGACACTTCTCTGACCCATTCTCCTTCTCATACCAACTAACCACCACTCTTTCTCAATCTCACTTGCTAGATCTTTATCCAGGTCTCATCTCCTAAATGAGAATATATCTCTCAAGGCTCTGTCCTGGTACCTTTTCTTTTTTCCCTCTATTCTATTTCACTTGATAATCTTAACAGCTAATACCTCCCATCATTTTAATTCTCTATGTAGATTTATCAGCCTTAACCTTTCTATGATCTTTCAGTCTTTTACTTCTAACTGCCTACTAGACATCTTGAACCACAGATATCTTAAACTTAGTATGTCTAAAACTGAACACACTTTTCATGTTTTTTATTGCTTAAATTTCATTTTATTTGCAATTGCGAATTCTCTCCCTCCCTTATTGATTGAGAGAGCAAGAAAAACAAAACCTTTTATAAATATGTATAGTCAGGGGCAGCTAGGTGGCTCAGCGGATGGCGCACCAAGCCCTAGAGTCAGGAAGACGTGACTTCAAATCTGCATTCAGACACTTGACACTTACTAGCTGTGTGATCCTGGAAAACTCACTTAACCCCATTACATGCATGCATAAAGGAAGGAAGGAAGGGAGAAATGTGTAATCAAACTAAACAAATGCCCTCATTTGCCATGTCCAAAAAACCAACGTGCTTCAGTCTGCACTCTGAGTCCCAGTTCTCTCTCTGGAGATGGGTAGCATTTTTCATCATAAGTCCTTTGGAAATATCATAGGTTACTGTATTCATCAGTTACTAAGTTTGTCATAGTTGATTATCATTACAATATTGCCGTACTGTGTATATTGTTTCTCTGATTCTGCTTACTTCACTTTGTATCAGTTCATACATGTCTTCCCAGGTTTTTTCTGAAAACATCCCCTTTGCCATATGCTATAGCACAATAGCATTCTGTTACATACACAAAACTTGTTCAGCCATTCCCCAACTGATGGACATCCCCAGGTTTTCATTTCTTTGCCACCACAAAAAGAGTTGCCTCTTTTGTTCACATGAGTCCTTTTCTTCTCACTTTGATCTATTTGGAGTACAGACTTAGTAGTAGTATTGCTGGGTCAAAGAGTATGTATACTTTTATAGCTTTTAGGCACAGTTCTAAATTGTTCTCCAGAATGGTTAAGCTAGTTCACAGCTCCACCAACAGTGTATCAGAGTAATTATTTTCCCACATTCCTTCTCGCATGAGTCATTTTCCTTTTGTGTCATCTTATCCAAACTGATGGATGTGAGGTGATACCACATAATTGTTTTAATTTGTATTTTTCTCATCATTAGTGATTATGAACATTTTTTAATATGGCTATCGATAACTTGGGTCTCTTTCTATGAAAAGCACCTATTCATATCCTTTGACCATTTATCAATTAGGGAATAACTCTTATTCTTACAGAATCAAGTCCCTAAATACCTTAGAAATGAGATCATTACTACAGAAAAATGCTGCAAAGATTCCCCTTCCCATCACCCTTAGTTTCCGGCTTTTTTTGTAATTTCGGTCATGAACTCTTAGTCTATGAATAGTTGTGACAGGTAATTTCTTCTATGTTCCTCTAATTTGTTTATGAGTCTAAAACTTGTACTCATTTGCAACTTGTCATGGTGTATAGTGAGATGCTGATTTATGCCAAGTTTCTGCCACACTGCTTTCCAGTTTTTGTCAAATAATGAATTCTTGTTCCAATATTTTGGATCTATGGATGTGTTAAACCCTAGACTACTGTTATAATTTGCTTCTTCATACTGTGGACCTAATCTGTTCCACTGATCAATTTCCTACCTGGTACTAAACTGTTTTGTTTTTAACAAATTACAGCTATGTAGTAAAGTCTGAGATCTGGTTCATCCAAGTCCTCTTCCTTCCCACGTTTAAAAACAAAAATTTAATTCCCTTAATATTTGTAACTTTTTATTTCTCCAGGTAAATTCTGTTATGATTTTTTTCTAGCTCCATAAAGTTCTTTAGTAGTTTGACTGTTATGGAAGTAAGTAAATATATTTAGATACTATTGTAATTTTATTATATTGGCTCAGCCTACCCATGAGTAATTACTATTTTACCACGTAGATCTATATTTGGATAAAGTATTTTGTAATTATGTTCATACAGTTCCTGTTTGACTTGGAAAGTAGACTTCCACACATTTTAAACAGACTTTTACTATCTCTTCCTGCTGAATTTTATTGGTAGTATCTAGAAATGCTGGTATTTATCTGGGTTTTTTTACATCCTACAACTTTGCTGGAAATTGCTCATTTTTTCAATTAGTTTTCTAGCTGACTTTCTAGGATTCTCTAAGTAAATCATTATCACTTGCAAGAAGTTATAATTTTGCTGTTTTTTAATCTGTTCTTATTGCCTCAATTTCTTTTTCCTGTCTTACTTTCTAGCATGTCGAGCCCTATACCGAATAGTAGTGGTGATAATGCCCATCCTTTGCTGATATTATCACTAATCTTACTGGAAAGGCCTCTTTGCTTATTCTTGTTAGAGATAATGCTGGTTCTTGGTTTTAGGTAGATATTACTTATCATTTTATGGAAAGCTCTATTTCTATTCTTCCTAGTATTTTTAACAGAAATGGATGCTGTCACTCAACAAATTATACATTTCTAGCAAAAACATTTTATTATCTTAATCTATATAATAAATTATTTGGTTTTAATGTTATGTTCATAATTTTCCATATATTGAACCAGCCTTGAATTCCTGATATGAATCCAGCCTAGCAATAGTGTGTAATTTTTGTGATATGTTGCTGTAATTTTCTTAATATCTGAATTAAAATGTTTGCATCAATATTCATTAGGGATAGTTTTCTACAGATTTCTTTCTCCGTTTTGACTCTCCTTGGTTTAAGTATGAAGAACATTTGTATCAGTGAAGGAATTTGATATGCTCCTTTCTTTCTTATTTGGAAAAAAAAAAGTCTGATCTCCAAAGGCCTCATGATGGAAAATGCTATCCACATCCGAAGAAAGAACTATAGAATTTGAATGCAGACTGAAGCATAGTGTTCGCTATTTTTTTTTCTCTTCTGTTGAGTTTTGTTTCCTCTTTCTGGTGGTTCCTTCTA